GGGGGGGGGGGATAAGGAGAGGCAAGAGGAAAGATAGCAAAAGAACCCTAGTTCCCCTGGGACCCATTTTACATTCTTTTGATCATTTTTGGAAGGATGGGCTCAGGAAGTACAATTATAGCCAGCTCTCAATCATTGCTGTGAGGAGGGAAGTCCTTTACAAGTGTTAGTTATTATTATAACATGAATAATTGAACCTCCCAGATAATCCCCAAACCTCATTTGAGTCTTGAAGTTTCCTTTCCTCTGCCAAACCTTTTAAGGAAATGAGACTGGTACTAGCAAAGGAGGTAAATGACTGGTGTGAATTCACCCCTTCTCCTCCCTGCCTCCAGTCTGTCTGTCTGGTCTTAATCCTCGACCTAGAGAAACTACCCCAACCCCCCAATACAGAGAGTAGGGAACGTGAGTTGGGGGGGCTGCATCCATCTCACCCCTCTGGATCTAGCTCCATTCAGGCTCCTTCTGGCAACTTTCCCCTTCCTCCCTCTCTCTCCTGGCTCTCAGCACTCCTGCACTGAGTCTAGAGAAAATATGTGCATGAGCAGGGATTGGCTGACACACCCCACAGGCAGGGCTACTCACTTATGCTCTGTATATTTTGCTCATGCATTCCTGATTCCACTTTCTAAATTGCTCTTGAAAGTATTCCTTGCTTTCTATTGTCTCTGAACTAACTTAATCCAGGCTCCATTCTCTTTGGCCTAAACTCTTGCAGTGACCTCCTAGCTGCCTCCTTTCTAAGCACTCATATCCATCTTCCATGCTATACCCTTCAATGGCTCCCAGTTGTTTACAGGGTCAAGTCCAAAGGCATTCCTATGGCCAAGGAGCCCTCCATGATTTGACCTGTGGCTACAACTCTGCTCTTACCTCTTATCCCCTTGTATAACTATATAACTACCCCACCTCCACAATTCCTGGGAATACCCTCCCCACTTACACTCACATTTGGTTTGTTTCCTAACCCCCTATTTGTCCTATAAGTCTCAGCTTCCACATCAACTCCTCCTTGATACTGCCCCTGCAGCAACTCTGACTTTCAGTCATTTTGGTTGCCAGTGTTCCCAGTACATCCACTGATTGACCACCACACTTATCACACTATCTTGCAACCAGTTATTCACATGTCTGCCTTCTCTACTAGTCTGTGAGCTCCACAGCATTAGTCTCTGTATTCCTAGCTCCGAAATAGGCTTTGAAAGAAAGAATAAATGATGTTTTCACAATTGGAGGGCAGAGAGCCAGAACACTTGTAACAGAACTAGCACCAAGCCTTTTCCTGCCTCAGGGCCTTTGCACTTGCTATTCCCTCCGATTGAAACATTCTTCCCCCCCAGGCATCTACTTGGGTTGACCTCTCACATTACTCAGGTCTCTGCACAAATGTTGCCTCCTTAAAGATGCCTTCCCTGGGTACTCCATCTAGCATAACACACACATTCCACTCCTGTCACTATCTATCTGCCTTTCCTACCTCATTTGTTTTCAGAGCTCTGATCAACACACGGCATGTTATACAGGGTGTGGCAAAAGTAGGTTTACAGTTGTGACTACAAAAAACATGAAGCTTCTTCTATTATTATTTATTAATTATGGTATTATTTTCCATACGGACAACTGTAAACCTACTTTTGCCACACCCTGTATATTCATGTTTATTGACTGTCTTCCCTAATAAAATATAAGTTCCAAGAGGGCAAAGATCTTTGTTTTGTTTGCTGCTGAATCTCCAGTGTCTAGAATAGGGTGAGGCACAGGGAAAGTACTCAATGATGACTTGTTCAGTACTGTTGAACTTGGACTTAGAACTGTGTTGGAACCCTATCTCTACCATTTTCAAGTTCTGTGTGACATCAGGCTAGTTGCCTGTCTCCTCTGAGCCTCACTCTCATCATCTGTAAAATAGGGATAATAATTCTACAGACATCATAGACAAGAATTAAATGAGATCAAATATTTAAAAGCACTTGACATGCTGCCCAGCACAGAGAAGGCAGGTAATGCTTGTGAGCTGAAATCTGTTGACCAACCAGTGTCTTCTACTTCTCTGATCCCTATGGCGAGCCCTTCCCCCATCCTAGCCCTTCTATCATCCATTGTGATCAAACCATTATTCCTATGCCTGGGGGCTCAGTTCTTACTTGCCACAGTTGTAGAGGTCACAGCAGAAGCAGGTGTTTCCCCGGATGCGAGGTGTGCAGAATCCACGGCTGAGGTGAGGGCAGGTCACCTGAGGGCACACAACAGTGAGGAGATGAGAGGGCATTGCATGAGAGGCAGGAACCTCTGGGATTGGAAATGTGAATTAGCCACTGATGGAGAAGGTAAAGATGGCTGTGAGATGAACACACCAATGCATGGGAGGGATGGGGTTGGGCAGAGGGCTGGCTGAATTGTACATGAGGCAAGTCACTGTGTAGCTGGGCTCACATCCAGCCTCAGCCCTCAGTGCCCCATCCCTGATGGAGAGGAGAAAGGATGGATGGAAGGAGAAACAGAAGAACAAATAGACGGTAGGGAATGAGGATATGAGGGAAAGGCAAATCAGGGAGCAGGAGGAAAGGGGACCAGATGGGAAGGAAGACAGAGGGGCTGTCACATGCACTCTGAAGTACAATGGTACCTCTCTAGCTGCCTGGGTAAGGTTCCTCATAACCCTCGCGGAAGGAGAATTTTTGGTTGAGGAACTTATGACCTTATATAGGAAAAATAGGGTTAGGGGGACCAGGGTTACCAGTGAACCTATGGAAGTCATTATTAACATTTTTACAGTCACCAAATTAACACAAGAAAGTGATCACGATGAAATCAAGAGAAGAGCAAAGACATTTTACACATCTTGAGCTGGCAAAAAGTTTTAAAGATAAATTCCCATTTACCATCTCTTGTTGGTAATAAATTTTCCAGGCTCTCTCCCCCATATGGATGCAAATTTGTTTTGTTGTGTAATAGAGAATATTCATAGTAAATGAGCACTCTTTTCTATATTGGGTCTTTCATCCAAATGCTCACAGCCTTTCTGATAAGCATACACATTTCTGCTCCTCCCTTCTAACCTGAGGATAGTTAGAAAAAATGGTAAATTTGTGATTGGGGAAAGAAAAAAGAGGCAAGTGGGTGGTGGGGCCATGAAAAAGATGTATTTGCCCTGATGCCTCAGTAGCAGGGGCTATCTATCGCTTTGCCTAGTTCCAAGGGCACCATTCACATTATATTTTATGTAGAATGGCTTCCCCTAACATTGTGCAATGCATTGGCCATTTTATATCCACTTGCCTCTTTTTTCTCTCAATCACAAGTTTTAAAATTTTCTAACTATACAGGGATGGGGTGGGGATGATTTTCAATTTGAGGTTAATGGAGAACCAAGTTGTCAAGGTTCCTAGAAGCACACAGTAGTTTCCCATGAATGTGATCTCTGGGTTGAGGGGCAACTATCATGTACTGAAATGAAAGCTCTCTGAAAATGACTTGAAGCCATACTTCACCTCACTGCCCACCACCTCTAGTTTTCCATGAAGGGACATGGAACACAAGGAGAGCTGTGTGGGTCAGGAGAAAGATACTCTCATGTACCCATTCAAACATCATCAGACTGGCCTCATGAAAGGGGCCAGGCCAACAGTCCAGCACTCATCAGAGCCTCCAAGAGAACCAGGCCTCTCAATCACCCTCATTTAGCTTCTTGACCCCTTGTGTGTGTGGGACTCAGGCTCTGCCCCCTAGTCTAGGCCCAGTGCCTTGGTGGGGCTCCTGCTTTTCTTCCAGCTCGGGCGCCTGAACCACAGGTGACTGAACCATTATCCACAGAGATGGGGGAGGACTCCGCCCTGTGGCCTCTGTACTCTCTTCCTCTTCGGATCAAAGCTACAAACTGAGAGGCTGCCTGTGGGGTCAGAGGGGCAGCCTGTGGCCACAGAACAAAGTAAATCTGATTAGGCCTCATGAGGCTCCAACCTATGACCATGGCCTAATCATTAGCACTGTGCTCTGATCCACTGAGCAAATCAACTACAGATACCTGATAGACAGCCTTAGGACCCTGGAAAGGAGTAAAAGAAAAAGGTTTTAGGCAGAACAGGAAACTTCCCCGAAAGGTAAGACATACAGCCTCATTCTGGCTCACCTCCTCAGCTTCCTTCTGGGATGTCTTGGGGACATAGTGGCACTGGTTAGCGTAGAGTGGTTTCAGATCCTGGAAAGGGAAACACCAAACCAAAGGGGTTTTGGCTTTGGAAAATAAAGCAGCAAGCGCTCTGATTGGTAATAAAAGATTTGAACACACACACACACACACACACACCAGAGCAGGCAGTGGGTTGAGTTAATTTCTTAAAGCTGCTCATCTAGGGAGCCTGCGGATGTGACCATCAGATAAAAATGCTGTAATAACTGCTTTCCATTGGACCACTTGGTTAATGGGAAATTAGGAAATTGATTGAGAAATGGGTTTCCAAAAATTTCCTCTCTGGTTTTCTTTTATTTCTAGTCTTTGTGTTCTTGCAAAAAGTCCCCAGGGAATTAGATTCAAACTCCAGGTTACTGCATCATCACACATGGTGAGGGGGTGGGGGTGGGGGTGAAAGGGACAGCGTAGATCTAACAATGAGGTCTCATTATCACCTGAGGAAAGAACCAGGGCTAGCTGATATGTACTCTCTGCTGTCATGGCCACAGCTTTTCCAGAAGGAAGAGCTCAGGAAGCAAGCCCCAGGGGGATGGGCAGCTACTGAGATTTTTATTCAACTGAACTATGAGCTATTTTCACTCAATTACACAAATTAGATAAAGACAGTGAACTCCAAAAATACTGCTAAAGCCCAGAAAACTAACATGAAGGCTCAAGGGCAGTTGATTTACCCCACTGGCTTGGCCAGCTTCCTGGTAAGGAAGCTCTCAGGCACGTGGTGCAGGGGGTAGGGGTTGGCATAGAAGAGACAGACAGAATCCAATGCTGCCTGGAAGCTTGCAGGCAGGGGATGTTGTTCACTTTCAGGGTGACACTAAACATCCCCTGAGTGGTAGGGGGCTTAGGCCAAAAGCAGGTTGGGACAGGACAATCGGTTTATGCAAACTGACCTTAGGGGTTTGGCCAAAGCACCTTGGCAGTGCAAGTTTACCAATTGCTCCCCACCCTGCCCCCAGTTCTTTCACCATTTCCAATGATCCTGGTGGCTGCTTTTTCCCCACACATGTGATTTAGCATCTCTTGTTCCTGGTACCCAAGTGCTCCTGCCTCCTAGCTTGCCATCCCATCCAGGACCTAGGACTTTCCATCAGCTGCTTCTACATGAACCTCCTGGCTTCTCAATGTTCTAAAAGTACAATGTCCTGTTGCCTTAGCCTGCAGTCAGGCTGGAAAGGAATGAGGGTTCTCATGTTCACACCCGGCAGGATTTATTTTCCATATTTGGGTGATGGCAGAAGTCATTATTATCCTGTAGAAGAGCAGGCTTGATGTGCTGGTCACAGCCCTCCTGACCTCCTGGTTCTGCAAAAAACATTCAGCCACCAACTGCCCTAAATGAAAATAAACATGTGTGATGGTTGCCCATTTGGTGCTTCTGGCTGTTCGTCTACATTGAGATCCCAGAGGAAGAACAAGCCCATGCAATTGAGAGGTAAGAAAAGGTCACTCAGCCAGGGCTCAGAACCTTTTTAATCTGAAGGTCAACAACTCTGGAGTGAAGGGATGGAAACAGAAATTGCTTTATGGTGTCTACTCTGTGCCAAGCCCTCATAGGGCATGCACACCACACCCATGGCTTCAGATTGTCCTCATACTTACCTTGAAGGTAGGTTACTATTATATCCATTTGGAGGAGGAGAAATTGTGGCACAAAAAGGTAACATGACTTTCCCATCTAGTTAATGGCTATATTAGGGAGAGGGGAAAGGAAGGAAATAGGAGACACGAGAGAAAAGGAACAAGAAACATTTACAGGGGTGTGTAGGAAGGTAGGCCTTGAGAAGTTCATATACCCCAATCAAAAGATGCCATTAAAGGGCCTAAAAAACAGGAAAAGTTGGCTCTAACCCACCCAAGTGGTGTTAGGGTCAAAATGTGCCTTTGATTTAAATGGGCCAACAGATATCACCATAGATTAATAAAGCCTCCTTCCTCAAAACTCTCTGAGTGTCACTGAGGGCTGGCAGATTTCTTAGGACAGGTACAGTGGAAGCATAAAGGTTTCTTAAAGATTCATCCAGCCTTACCCCAACCCCCTGAGTCAAATGTGGTACTTCAGGCCACTAACTGCAGGAGGTACACAGGGCCTGGAGTCAGAGGCAGGTAGGGATCACTAGAGAAACTTCTAGTAATATGATTTGGATTTTTTTCCCCATTGCCTTTGACTGAGACCAGTAATAAAAAAACATTAAGAGTTTCAGGCAAATGCAAATCAAACCCACAATCAGATACCATTTCATACCCACTAACCCACTAACCCACTAACCCACTAGAATGGCTAGAATTAAAAAGTCAGATAATAACAAGAGTTGACAAGGATGTGGAGAAACTGGATCACTTATAAACTTCCAATGGGAATGTAAAATGGCACAGCCACTTTGGAAAACTGTCTGGTAGTTCCTCAAAAGGTTAAATATAGTTACCACATGACTCAACAATTCCGTTCCTAGATATATAGCCAAGGGAAATGAAAACATATGTCCATACAGAAACTTGTACATGAACGCTTACAGCAGCATTATTCATAATAGCCAAAAGGTAGAAACAACCTAAATGTCCATCAGCTGCGCAAACAAAATGTAGTATATCCACACAATGCCACATTATTAGGCCATAAAAAGAAATGAGGCACTGATACATGTTATAATATGGATGAACCTTGAAAATATTATACTCATTTAAAGAAGTCAGGTCACAAAAGACCACATATTATATCATTACATTAATATAAGATGTTAATTAATATAGGAAAATCTATAGAGAAAGAAAGTAGATTAGTGGTTGCATAGGACTGGAGGGAATAGGGGGATGGGGAGGTGATAGCTAAAGGGTATGGGGGTTTCTTTTGGGGATGATGAAAATATTCTAAAAGTGATATGATGTGGTGACAGTTTGCATTAACTGTGAAGATATAAAAGCTATTGAATTGTATACTTTAAATGGGTGAATTATATGGGATATGAACTATATCTCAAAAAAGATGTTTAAAAAAATTAGGAGTGAGAGGAGGAGGGAAATGGAGGAAGCCATTTTAGCTCATGATGCCATCAAAATCTACTGCAGGTTTCCTGGCCAGGAGGCCTATGTTGCCATGGAGACTGCCTCAGAGAGAATACTGCTTGTCAAGTGGGGATAATAATGCCTGCCCTACATACCTCACAGGATTGCTGTGGGTCTCAAATGAGAAAATAGATGTGAAGGCACAATGAAAAGCTACATGCACTACACAAAAACAAGGCATTATTGTTATCAAGATGGCTCCTGTTGAATACAGAACAGCATGCATATTATGATTGAGTGCAACCATGCTACAAAAATAAGTATGTGCTCTGAGGGTAATATGCAAAAATGATACGAATTGGTATATTAAGGTGGTAGGATTGTGGATAAGTTCCTGATGTGTCATTTGCCTTTTAAAAAAAATCCTCACCGGAGGATATTTTTCCCACTGCTTTTCAGAGAGTGGAAGGGAGAGAGAGAGACACACATACACACACACACATCGATGGGCTGCCTCCTGCACATGCCACGACCAGGCCCAAAGATCAAGCCTACAACCAAGGTGGAATCTAACCCATGACCCTTCAGTCCGAGTGCCGATGCTCTGACTGGGCTTGGGCTCATTTACCTTTTTAAGAAGAAAAAGATGAAAAACAAAATGGCTGCTCTCAGCTAAAATCAGAAGTGATGGGTCTGATATAAGGGCCTACATTTATATTCCTGGTCCTGAAAGAAAATTGGGCAAAGGGCCTTTCTCTCCCACCTTTTTCTTTTACCCCTTCCCAGAAATTATCTCCTGAGATGCCATTTCAGAGACTGCTTGGGTGGCAGCGCTGATCATATGAACTCTTATGTCTGGGAGGAGGGTCCAAGAACAAGTTGAAATTGAAATAATTAATGTTGCAAATCATCCTTTTCCATATCCAACCATACCTGTGACACTCCCTCAGGATGACCTGCACTATTAGCCAGTGACTGAAATGGAATTAAATATCATTGATTCATAGAATATCCTGATAATATAATTTTGCTCCAATCCAATTGTTTTAGAAAAAAAAGTTCTAACTAGTTCATGAGTTGCTTCCATTTTCGATGTTGGTTCAGTTGAAATCAAATGAGTATTTGAGTTTGTTGTGAGTGCTCAATAATTTGCTATGGCTTGACTTTTGTTTGTGCGCCAGGTCAGAACTACATTATGACTTCCCTGGGACTTAAGCACTTTTGCCTTTGTGGGCCCTTCCTCCATTAAAAAATATTGAAAATTACATTTTATTTATTTTAATTATATCTTATGATTGTATTGGCATATATTTATATTATATGTGAAAACTTTCTTTTGACCTAAAACTGCATTGTTTTGTTCTGATTTGAAAAGAAATAATATTTTTATGGGCCCCTGAAAGCAGCATGGATCACAAGCACTTGTGCCTATTGTGCCAATGAAGAGATCAGCTATAGACCAGATGTCTGGAATAGTATGAAAAGGAAAGTGCTGAAAAAGGGGCAAGGGGTCCCCTAGAAAGCCACCTGGGAACACCCTGAATCCTAAGCTTCCTCAGAGAATAAGCACAGCTTTGGGTTTAAGGAGTAAAATGGCCTTTCTCAGGGCACAGATTCTTCAGAGTAGGTAGCATTTCGCATCTTAACACCAGGACTGGGTTCTGAGTGGAGGCTTCTAGTTCTGGGACTTTCCCTCGACCCCAATCATGTCTCTGCTCTCCAACCACTGCTGTAGGGACAGCAAAATTCAGGCATTTGAGAAAAGGTGACTATGCCCTCATGGTCTGCTCTTGTTGCTGTTGAAGGAGAGAGGCCATCTATTGAAAACTTCAAGTCTCTCAGGAAGTCATGTGGCTTCCTGTTCCTCTCTCTCTACCAACATCAGTTCCAAGCCATTCCCCTGGTCCTACTGCCCTTATCTTTGCCTTTCTAAATCTCACCCACTTGCCGAAGGCCTGGCTCCAGCCCCACCACCACTAAAAAGCCTGCCCTGACCGCTGGAGTCCAAGATAAACCACTCTGGCCTTTAGAGTTTGTATCCTCAGCTGAGACCCAGTTCTCTAGATGCCTATGTATCCATGGGTGTCCTCATCTTGACTGTCAGCTCCTTGATACAGGGATCCTGTCTTCTGTTCCCCTCATGACACTCAGCACACATCCAGTACAGGCTCAATGAAGCCTTGCTGGTAGTGCACACTTACTTTAAACCAGAACTGAAAATACTCACAATGTGTCTGGCAGCAAAGACCCCATCGACTATGGCACAACAAAAGGCTGCAATCACACCAAAGCTGATAAAAACAATAGAAGCCACCAGCTGCAGAGGGAACAAAACAAAAGTGTCTGTTAGCTTTCCACTCTTGCTGCTTCTGGAGACTAAGTGATCCCCAAGAGACCACCAGCTAAAGCAGAACCCTGGCTTGCCACACATGAGGATGCTCTTTGCAGTCATGCAGGATGAGTGGGAGCTGAGGAAGGGGGAGGCAGAGAAGGGGCCATTGAAGCACCTTTTACATTTTGAGGGCAAACAAAGAAATTCACTCAGTGCATTTGTGAGCACCAAATGGAGAGGAGGCTTGCTGGTATCCAGCATGCTGTCCATGGTGGAATTTGACTGTGTGACTCTTCCATTCTCAGACTCAAAAATGTTGGACCTCTGACATCATGTAGTCCAACCCTCTATTTTATTTATTGTGAAATTAGAGGCTTAGAGAGGGGAAGTGGTGTGTGTGCCCAGGATCACCATCTAGTCTACGGAAGAGTCTGGTGCCCACCGACTCCTAGTTCAATGTTATTCCCAACCCCTCATGATGGGCATTGATGAATACAGGGATGATTCTGAGGCCCCTCAGAACCCTACATGGCCTTCTGCATCATTGAAGAAAGAGAACATTCAACTTAAGACTTAAACGTTAAAGGCATTTTACAAGGGTTGAAGCCTCTGAAATGGATCAACTCTGTGTGGTGCATATGAAAAATTTCAAGTAAGAAAAATGTTTGCTTGAACCAGACTGCCCTATTCTTTGACCATGTTAGATAACAGAAATGTTCCTAATAATTTGTCTTCCATGACAAGGCTGATACTACAATCCAACATGGGGGTAGGTGTTTTCAGGGGCATGGATAGGTGCTGCCTGAGCCCACCATCTGCCTGTGTTCTGACCTTCAGAACTAGATGGAATCAGTGTTTTTTTTTTTTCCTTGAGGTGATTGGGGGTAGGGAAGGGAAATAGCATGGCATTAAGCAGCTCTCCAGGGAGAAGGAGGGATGAAAGTCAAGGCCACCCCAAGTTTCTCCCACCTCAACAGGCTAGGAAGAAATGCTTATCTCCTTTGGGAGTTGTTGAGAAACCTCTCCCCATAAATCTCACTTCACAGCACTAAAAAGAATTGGTAAATAATGGATGAACAATGTCATGAAATTGGCATTATTAGCTATGCTATAATCAGCTCTACAACTAAAACTCCTCTATTATTTTGAATAATTT